AATTATTATTTTCTTATTTTTCTATCGTTTTTCTTCATTGGTAGCTTAGGTTTTTTCTAAAGGAACAAGCTTTAAAACAAGTGCAAAATATTTACACAGAAACTGTTATTTTTTACTTGTTTACCTGTTAAAATTTGAATTTTTTGCATTTTTCCAACAAAAAAACAAAAAATCTGGAATGATTAATTAACTTCTGAGAAACTATCAGGGCTATCGAAAAGTAATCTATATACGGTTTATGGAGAATTTTTTCTCTCTCTCTCTTTTTGTAAGCTGAATAACGGTAAATTCCAAATATCTCGAAAACGTATCCATACAAAAAAAAACTTTCGGAATCAGCGAGCGATTTTACATGCAAATTGAATAGTGGCGTCTGAGGAACAAATTCAAAATTAAAATTTGTGATCTAGTGAAATTAACTCAATTTCCTGCAGGGTTGGTATCCATCAAAGTTCCGAGGAACTTTGGTCGTGTTAAAGACCTTACATTTTCTATTACCAACTTAATTATGTACTACTAATTAGTTATTTCTGCTGGGTAATGATGCATACAGCGTGTAAGCGTGTTTATGAAAAATTGTGTTTTTTTATTTTCCTGAATTAAGGTATTTAAATTATTTACAAAACATTATATGTATGCAAACAAAACAATAAACGCTATACTAATACTCAATATTTACCGACTCATATTTTGAGTGAGTTTCTTATTAAAATACAACTGCCACATGTTTTTATTAAAAATAATAATATTGCTATAGCAGAGAGAGAAAAAAGCAAAAATTTAATTTAAAGCATCTATGGAGCGAGTACGCTTTTTGCTACTTTTTGACTTTAAATTTTAATTGTATAGTAATTAAAGTAACAGCGTAAAAGTAATTAAAATTTCGTAATGAGCACGCAGGAGGATTAATTTTTCTATAGCATTTGTTTTTTCGCGCTGCCTGTTAAACTAATTGAAAGTGATTATACTATTTTTTGCTGCAAATGAAATTCATGTCACATGAAATACATGCACAGAAAAAATCAATTGTTTTTGCGTATGTATGTATGTGTTGGATGATTTTGCGAGTTTTCGTTTCACTTGATTTCCGCAAAAAGTTTGCGCCTGATTAAAATTTCCTACAAATGCGGCAGCTGTCTCGCTTGCTGCTAACTCAGCTGCATATTTACTAATTAATTGGAAAACAGTACACACAGTGTATGTGAAATGCAAAACCCATAACTAAATTTTTATTTATTTTTTTTGTATAAAACAGTGGGAGCCCCTAAAATTCGATGAAATGCTTCATAAACGATCAAGAAGTGAATTTTGGATTTTTGGCTAGTTACGGCCTTTTGCAATTCAGCCAACGATATGTATTGTGTATTCTATAATCTACGGCATGGAGGGAGAAAAATAGCTATCAGCCGTAGAGGAATTAAGTTAGATGTGACAAAATTGGAAATAATGAAACACTCGTATGTATGTATTAAATGTAACAAAAAGTTAAAGTTTGATACCAAATTTTTTTTGAATTGTTCAATTAAATGTTGGTACTAATTAAAAATACGTTAACATATGCACGTCTGTTTATCAATGTCACCATCGTGTCACTGACTGGGTCTTTTTATATTCAAAATCTTGCATTTAAATATACGGTAAACCTAGAAATCGAAGCCTGGCCCTGGTCTGGACTTCCCAGTGCCACATACTGTGCACTGCTTAATAATGCAATAAAGAGTCCTGGTCCTACGAATCCCTGTGCAGCTACTTTTCTGGCAAGAATATCGGCTTCTTCATTTCGCATGACTCCGCTATGTTCCTGGATGCGATAAGTATCAAAAGCTGCAGGCAATCTCACACCAGCTTTGAGATGATCTCGTGCCTTTTAAGAGCGGGGATCGCCGCTTTGCCTACGAGTGAATGTACATGTATGCTGTAGTCTCATGCTGCGACACCGTGGTAAGTCTTGAAGCCGTCGCTATATCGAATTCGGTTATCCTCCCGGTGTAAACGGTAGAGCCTCTTTCTTGATTAAAATGTGTAGGGCAGGCTGGTCAATAGGCATATCGCGAGCCGTGGTTGGTGTTGTTTTCATCGCACAAGTGACGCTCACGCAATCTAGTCGTTGCAGTTTACTTAGTTTGGTCTGCGGGGATTTCAATTCATAAGTTAGAATGGGCTGGCAGATGCCTTCATATGCCCATTTTCGCCCCATTAGTTTCTGGCAGGTGGAGCCCTAGCGTTTTGAACAGATTTATCTAACTAGGTGCTGGTTACATAGGTGCTTTCCAACAAGAATAACTCCCTGATATTTAACTTCTCTTTGAACGCATGGCTCTATGAAAAATGGCTATTTGAAACTTCTTGGGGTCAGATTTAACCAAGACAAGAAACTTGCTTATTTACAGTTTAAATTATGTATTCATAGGTGCTACATGCTGCTGATTAAATTCGGGTAGTCCTTAAAATATCAACACCCAAAATTTTTTATGAGGCAACCCTTTATTTCGTTCTAAGTAAAAAATAAAGATATTCGCGAATGTTTAAAAAGTTAACAATTTTTTTGTGGATGGCTACCAGAGTAGAAAAAAATTTCAATTAAAAAATTGCAAAAATATTGAAACTTTTTCATATTAATTCATAAAACCAGCTGAGTTATAGCTAGTAAAGGTAAAAATTTTGTCGAATATTCGCAATTTTAAAAAAGTTATTTTTTTCAATTGTGAAAATTCCGTGATATAAACCGCGATTTTATGTATTATATATGTATTTTTATGTTACATATTTTGTTGTTGTTGTTTGGTTTTAAACTGTGAATTATTTTACATTATACAGGTTAAAATAAAGCCATCCAATTATGTGATTTTTTCGCGTTGCCATTTTAACTGTGACATTTAAAGACTTTTCAACTGTAACACTGATGACTAACATTAGTATATACAAACATATATACTAACTATGAGCAAACGCAAAACGCCAAAAAATATTCTTTTTTTTTGCTGGAATAATCCTCTTAGTTTTGTCATTTCAAACTCGCTGTTTGCCTTTTTCATCTTTGTGGTGTTGAGTTGGTAATTGATTGCAAATAATACTATGTTTAATTAAATTAATTAATCAAACATTATGTAAATATATAGAGATGGAAAAAATACAGTAATATAACACGACTATTTAAGAAAAATATATCCTTTTTTGCAGGTTGGTACTTAATTTTTTGGATAAATCTGATAAATAAAAAAGTTTCACTTCTTATGTGTGTCAGCAATGGAACATGGCAAAAACAATCATATATTTGCTTTACTGGTTTTTAATGAGGACTTCGTTGAAATATTTAAAATCCATAAAATTGCAAAAATGTATTTTTAGGTTAGAATCAAGGCATGTTCAACAAGGTAGAAGTTATTCGAGAGGTCTGGAATGAGACTAAAGTGCAAAGTTAATGAAATATCTTTAAATAAAGGGTTGTAAAAATGTTTATAAAAAGCTTTCTTTTGAAAATTTTTAGTAAGTTTATATTCATACGCTTATAAACAACTTTTTTTGAACCTTTATTATAAGTTTACACGTTTACGCTTATAAAATGCTTCCTTTTGAACATTTATTACAAGTTTATATTTCCACGCTTATAACCAATGTTCCTTTTCGATTATATTGCGCTTACTTTCAAGCGTTTTATAAACAAAAAATCAACGTTTTGTAAGCTTAATGTTTATAATTGAAAACTTAAAAAAAACTTTCTTTAAGTTTATATTGCTTGTTGGGAAATTACAAAAATAATTTTTTTCATAGAAAAATTTTGTTGTGTGTATGTGTGATTTTTTTTTTTTTAATTTTTTCCACGCCCCGTTCTCAAAAACAATTGCTTTGCTTTTTCTTAAAATTTCGTACATTTTGCTCGATTTATGCAAACAAATTTAAGAAAGTGGCGTGGGGCCATGAGCTATGGCTATGCACGTCAAATAGGGAAAATTTTGGAGTAGTCTAGAGAAACATACTACAAAACGACGTACCTATTTTAAAACGATTTTTCGCCATCCCTGCCGTCATAATTTAACATGGGGCGACGACGTCTAGTTTCACGAGAATTCTACCAAGCATTTATTGTTTTTTAGAATGAATCTAGTAAATAGGTACACGATTTTTGCAATGACATAGACATGGTAGAAACATAACGTATTTAAACCGGAACCCACTGCGTATAATAAAGCAAGAGGAAGGTATTGTTTTGCGACAGAAGTGGAGAAGTTTTTGGCTTCAAAGGACATGCTGGAGAAATGACACGCCTGTTATATGGAGCTCAGTTGAAAATAAGAGATTCAGCGTTGCTGATGAACGTACATACCTACAAGTATGTGCGTATGTATATATGTACATACTATATATTCGCCTTTTCATAAATAAATTTACATCTAAGTAGCATTTCCAATTTTACTATTGACTTAATTATTTTTGATTTTTTTTTACTCTTAACACAATTTTCCTTAAATTATTTATTTTATTTACAAACTTTAAGTATTCCCATGTCCGAACTATTCTCTCTCGTTTACTTTAAACGTGTGTGTGTGCCTGCATTTCGGCGCCTTTGGGCGTTGTTACTGTTGTTGTTATTGTTATTGTAGTCGTTGCGGTCGTAGTCACAGTGGCAGTGCCTGTACCATTGACCGTTGCTGTTGTTGTTTGCACTGTTGTGGTTAGAGGAGCAGCGGCTGTTGTTGTTATTGTTGTACTTTTATTGCTTTTATTCCATTTCTTCACATACGCCAATGGTATTTCGATTTGTATCTGTTGCGGCTCATCGTCATCATCGTCATCAGCGCCACCACCTCCGCGCCGCCTAACATCAGCGCCACTCAACTCTTGTGCCCCATCACTGGGTTTAACCTCGAGCAAGCGTTTGCCAACGTACGATGGCAGAGGGAGTGGTGCCAATTGATGCATGCCACCGCCACCGCTGCCGGCAGCCGGTTGCTTTGGCGTCGTATCACTCATCAACAATGACTGTTGGGTTGGCAGCAATTGCATTGACGTGGACCGCTGTGGCGGTGTTCGCGTCACCGACAACAGCGAGTCGTCACGGCTGTATTATAAACTCTCGACCAGCTGGCTGGTGCGCCTGGGTGGTTGGCTGGCGCTCAAATAGTTCTCAGAGTAGACACTTTTGGTGCGCGTTTCATAGCGCAGACTAGAGCGTCGTATATCGATGTCGAGCGGCAGACCGCGTTCTCGCCACCAATTGCAGAAAAGACATTGCAAGGTGTTGCGGAATGCTTCCCGAAAATCACGATTGAAGTAAGCATAGATGAGGGGATTCAGCGTTGAGTTGAAGTAACCGATCCAGAAGAGTATGGCGACCACAATGTCGGGTGCAACTGAGTCGCACAGAGTTGTGATGGTGTACCTAAATGGAGGGAGAAAAAGGGAAAAATATTTAGTGGAATACAAGTACACTTCAATAACTTTCGCTTAAAAGGATTAAAGTTTGAAGTAAATAGTTTAGTATTTTTTGTGTGTCAGTGTGTGTGTGTGATTATTTGAAGTGTGTAACTAATAAAATTCCTTTTGCTCAACTTGACTGCTTGGCTGGGAGTACTTTACTTTTTCTTTGGCTTTCATCTCATTGCGGTAACTGTTTACATTTGCTCATGCCTTTCAGTTTTATTTTGCACTTGGCATCGCGGAATGTTAATAAAACGGCAGGAAGTTAACGGTTGGTTTTTCTGCGTTCATATTGCTTTAACAAAAAATGGAATTGGATAACTTTTTTGTGCATTGAAATGGAATGAAAGTTAAGTAAATAGCAAAAGTAAATTTTTTTCTGGATCACTTTTCTTTTTTCCACTGACTGCTTAAGCTATCTCTTTCTTAGGGCTAAACTTTTTAATTCATTGACTCCAGAAAAAAGCGGGCTTTAATAGTATTAACAAATGCCCGCAGTGGTTTTTTCTAATTCTTTAAGTTACTGCAAAAGTTTTTCAGTGGGTTAAACATTTTTATCAAATGCTTTTTAATTCAGTTGGATTGGTTATTTAAATACATAACAGCTCCATTTAATAGTTTTATTAGAGTTAGGTAGTTCACAAAAATTTAAAAATATCAATAAGCTTTAAATGCGACATGAATAAAATATTTATGGTATTTTTATAACTTTCATGAGCTTGAAATGATATGACAACTTTGGTCCGACGTTTGTAATTGGCAGAACATCGAGCTGAGCCAATTTAGCCATGTCCGTCTGTCTATCGGTTTATATCGGTTTATATGAAATCTAGTCTCAGTGAGTGTATTATTTCAAAATGTCAATTTTGTGGGAAAACGCAATCTAAGTTTGATCATTTATACTTGGTATTGTATAGTTTCTGTTACAGAATTTACTACATATATCTTTAAAAATAAATAACTAAAGATAAAAGGTATTATGACAAATGGTCAGATCTTGTCAATATGTGAGTATTGTTAAGTTATGTTAAGTTAATTTTTCCAAACCGAATATTTAGAGGATTTCAATTTAAGTTTTGAAAGGTGTTTACTGGGGTAGCCCAAAAAAAATAAAGTCGGAATTTTAATGCTCTAACCCCGTACGACTGTTTTTTATCGAAAGCATATAACCATTGCCTTTTGTATTTTGAAATCTAACAATATTTAGAGATCGCTTAAAGCGCTGAAACTTGTCAATGTATTTTATATGGGGGAAAAACAAATTTTCGTGGAAATGGTGTAGAATTTTGGAAAATCATTATTTTTCAATTGGAAAACTTAGTTTCTCCTCAGGAGACTTTAATAATACTTGAGATTGTTAATGTCACAGTATACAGTAAATCAGCCATTGACAATATGCTTATTGGAAAATTAATACATGAAATATTGTATATGTATAGGATCTGTTTGTCATTAACCCAAAGGCAACTACTGGCGCAAAAGTGCCCACAAATGTTTGTTGATATATTTGAAATGTAAATTTTAACAGCAAAATTCAAAAAATAAATAATAACAAAACAAAAATATTTTAAATTACTACATGGTAGGTGGCCGTGGTGATTGAAAGATTGCGCCAAAGATTATACCAAAGGCAGCTTCGGCATCGAATTTCGTTAAAATATTTAAATTTTGTTCGAGTTTACAAACAAACACCGCTAAACCAATTCATCTCGTCATTTTGAATATTTTGATATATATGCATGTAAGCATAAGTGTATATGTATATTCACATACATTTATGGAGGTCTCCACTATAAGAGTGTTATATTTAAGCTAAGTAATACTCGTTTTACCCTCTAATCGATGGTACCATTTTCCAAAGTTAGACCACCATTTGTCACTCAAAGTTGTGTTCGGAACATGGTATGACTTATGTAGGAACTGCATCCGGACATAATTGCTTACGCTTCACGCCCGATTTGCTTGGAATTTGGTTTTTTCGTTATTTTATTTAGCATTATTTAAAAATAATTTTCACTATAAGAAAATATTGAAATTGGATTTCATTTGGGTTAACGAAAACGACAACTGAAAAAATATCAACCCATACATTCAAACAAATTGTCAAATAAGCCTATTTACATTTTTTGTTTTGTCTATCTGGATTACTGTATAAATAGTGTGGTTTATGTAACCATTTTTATAGGTCTCCTAAAAGCTCCAAAAAATATAATAGAGTGATTCATATAAAATTGCTGGTACTAAGGTATGGTAAATTAAAGAAGAGAAACCTGGTTTTCCATTTGCACGACAAATATTTTTTCCCCTTAAAAAATACAAGGAAATATTTATTAGTTTGGCGGCATCTAAATAGTATGTTTTTATTAAAAAAAAGGATATACTTTTTTTCGATATAAGGGGTAAGACGCCCTAATGTCTACCCCCATAAATTCTTAGTCGTCTTCAGTAGGGAACAAAAAGTAAATATTTACCAGGGTAAACGTATGCACATATATAATTAAATTCTTTAAATTGTTTTGCGTTGGCTTAAGAGCTCCATTGGTTTGGATTACAGGAAAGTGGGAAAGTAGCGTTAGATTGGAAGTGAAAGCAAATTGTTGAAAGTAAAACTATCCCAGTTCATGCAAACTGTAATACTGAAAGTTTTGTACAGCAATCTATAATTTGATATGCTGACTTGGCAAAAAGTATAAAGCAAAGGAAAGTAAAGCGATATGGCAAGGGTGTAAGAAAAATTAAGGATAGCGCAAAAAAAAGTGGGTGGGAATGAGGGGATAGCAAATTGTTAGACTTTAGATCAGCTCAGATTTCTTTGCAGTGCATATAAACTTATTCGCTAGTTTGGAGAGATAGATTTTCATTATGCTGAACTGATATTACTCATACGCCATGTACGTCTACCAGGTTCAAGTAAATTAGCTTCATTACGAAAAACCTTTGTTTGTGCAAAACCTCGAATATAAATCTCGGTAATGCAGTCGAATACCAAACTTTGGCACACAAAAATCAAGAAAAGTAAACTCAGCAGAACTTTGTTTTACTTCGCAACTTGGTTTGTATTCATAAAAACCAAAGTATTTGTAAACATTTAAAAGTAACCACAAAATTTCGCCATCAGTCACACTTACCAAAGGAAGAATGGCAGCCAACAGAGTATGAATGTGCCCATAATTATACCCAAAGTTCTTGCAGCCTTGTGTTCTCGTTTCATTTTGATTAAATGTTTATCCTTTGTCGGCGTATGATCCTGCTCCACTTCATGCAGCGTCAAAGTTTTCGATGAGCCGGAACCGCTGAGCGCTTCACCTGCGGCAATGAAAGCTAATCAGTTAGTATGAAAAATGAGAAAGCAAAGGTAATTATGTGCATAAAATAAAAGCGCTGGAAAAGTCCTAAACGATACACATTTCCCATTTTTGGCCAAGACGAGAAGGAAAAACTTCAAATCTGACTGTAATTTGCAGCAAATTTATTAGCGCAAAGCCGACTTTGTCAGCTGGACAAACTTTGCCAAAAAGCTTTACAAAATTATTGTGGCTTAACTGACTGCACCGAAAAGGTTGCGAAGAAACCACATTGTGACCCGGAGAGTTGCCACTCGATTTGTCCATGGCAAAAAATGCGCAGTTCAAGTCAATCTCCTATTTGCCTGCTTTGCTTTATTTCCTTGGCTTGTTTGCTTTTGCATTTTGTACGTTTTGTTTATATTTCTAGCCCACCAAGCCCACAACCCACAAAAAGTTTTCATTTTGCTAATCGCTTCCAAATGTTGAAGGTACGTACATCCAAGTTGTGCGCCTTAAATGTTGAGTATATGCCATGTAGAGCGCTGAATTATGCATAGCGCTGTTATTTATGTTGCTTGCGGAGCTATATATGTATGTAAATTATTCTTGCGCTTGGTTTTTATTTTCGCTGCAGCGCTCACTTAATCGCTTACAATATTTATAACATGTTCCTGGAAATATATTTTTAGAAAGTTTCGCGCAACGAAAAGTTTGTCCATTAAGAACTAGGTGCGCACAAATGGGGCCTACGCAAAATACATACGTATGTATGTATGTATATATGTATATACTTTTCCGCATAGGAGACCAGCTGAAACAGGGTTGATAGGTAGGCAGTTATGCATACTTTCATTGGCGCTTAAAAGCAATTGCGAATAAAATTGCGCCAGCGTGCTGACTGATTGAAATTCAGAGTCTTAGTTTTTATTGCACCTTAATTGTGGAAAACTCTTCGCTGTAGATTTATGCTAAATACTTTGTTGGTTAATAAATGTATATGTATGTATGTACATATGTAGAATGTACATGTTTCAAGTATTTTTTTTTGTATTTTTTCTGAACTACTATTTAAAGTATTTACGTGACTATATACAATGATAGTCTTAAATTAGTTACAATGATAAATACTGCAAATAATAGGAACTCCATATTCATAGTGTTGGGGGAGCAGAATAGCTTTACTGATTGTGATGGCTCGTGGGTCGGTTCTCATGGTTCCGGTTGTCCAGAGATTCCAAACTAGATCGATATGGTGCTTTAGAAGTAGCTCTTGATATCGCAGAAGTTTAAGAATCAACTTGATAGCCCAGGCATTTTCCGCGCAAACTCATTAAAAAATAATGATACTCCACTTAATTAATGGAGGTCCGTTGCACTTCGTAGTATTAGATCTTTCTTCATTGAATCTAATATTTTTCTGCCATCAATCCAACGACTGGAATCTTTCGCTTAACTATTAACAATTCGCTGTGTATTATTAAGGCACAGTAAGAATCTGATTGCAGCTTGGTTGTCTGTATAGACGGCATCGATACTGAGGCATTACGTAGCATAGGATCAGTCTCATTTATTGATGGTTAATTTAGCTTTAAAAACATTAAATTTTTTAATGAGCTGGAGGTTTAGATTCAGTGATATTTATGTTGAGTGCATTCCAATGCCAAACATTTTGCTCAGCTTTCACCCAACGGCAAAACTAGCGGAAGATTTAAAATTAAGTTTAGTTTCGCAATTAATTCCTCAAAGGGATTCCAGAGAGAACTTGTTTTCTTAGCGCAAAACGGGATTAACATAAACCAGTTTCACCGGAGTTCTGCGTAAAATCTATATAATTGCGTTGTGGCAGTTTCAATCCGAGTTCAAAAGCTTTACCTGTGGAATAGGGCAGGACACCAGCTAATAGCATGGAGGTACACTAGACTAGACTTCACCCTCTGCAGTTTACTCTTCAATGTAGATTCATATAAAACTGGCCAACAAATGATAAATCCACAAAGAATATGCAGTGTACAATATACTTGGTGACAGGCCCCATCTTTTCCATCGGGCCGTATAGTGAGGTTATGACTTTCATTGGTATTAGTGTTTCAGCTCCAATTTAGATTTGTATCCTTTTTTACTTTTAGACGAAGTTTCGTACAGAGCGGTGTCCATGAACTTTTCTTTCTTTTAAAAATATGCATGGATGTACTTATGTACGTAATTGTCATTGTCATTGCGAGTGTTATTGGCAGTGTTATTGTTATTGTCATTGCTTTTGTAAATTTACATGTCATTATCATTGTTACTGTCATTACCTTTTCAAGTGTCACTCTCTCGCACTTTTTGTAATTTTGAATTTTTTACCACCAACCATTTTTAGT